ACTTAATGGCTGGACACTGCTCTCCATGCTGCTGGGCTGCACTCCTGGCCCCATGCATGCAAAAAAAAGCTGATTACTGATAATGTCAATTTGCCTGTGCTGATACGATATGGAACGATTATATTGGTGCACCTCTAAAAACAATTGAGGATAGAGATAGATTACTATAAAAGAAATGTCCAGGATTAATTACTTTTTTTAGTTAAATGCCTTTTTTCATAGCTTGTGGCACTTCAGTAATAAAGGTGTTGTGCTCTCTATTTCAGTTAAAAAAAAATCAGACTGGATGGGTTGGTACATTACCCCCCATCCTGACAGCTGAAGCCTGTTCAAGACCCTCCCTGCAGATACCTGGCTCCTCTGTAGTGAGAGTAATTTTAGGCATGAAAATATTAGGGAAGGTTGTAGAGGGCAACTGCATGCTGTCCTGGGCCAGTTCCAGTCTCTTTGCAGGCCATATCCAGCTCATGGGCCATAGGTTGTCAATCCCTGCCGTCTTCTAACACTATGGTGCATATCACTGAATGCTGCATAGGGCCACAGTTGAATATAGAAACCTGTTGTGACATTAGTACAGCATCTAATAATTACCACCCCCCCCCCCCCCCCCAAAACAACAAAAACACAAACATACATTAGTCACAGCAGTTTTACAAAAAAAAAAAAGCAAACCCAACAACAAAATAAAGGCCTGTGCCTGGGTTTGTGGATTTGTGTAATGCAGCAGGTCTGAGAACTTAAGTGTTGTGATATTTAGTATTAGCAAGCTTTGATATACATTTGTCACTTACAATTTAGCATAACTGCAGTGAAAAGTCAGTGTATCAAGAAGTAACATGCACAAGATATGTTTACTGTACCACCTAGTGTTACCAGATAACTGTTAAAAGTTCCATTAATGTGTGAATGTTCAGCTTAACATATCAAATGGAGGCATAGTTTCGAAGTTGCTCACAGTGGTTTTAGCATTGATTGTATGGATAGAAAAATACATCGGGTTCTCACCTCTACCCATCTACTCCATAGAAATTTCTCTGGCATTTGTAGTTCTGCAGGTTATAGCTCTTTCAGTGTTAAGTTTCACTTGATATATTCTGTTCTGGGTCAGCTCTCTTGAGGATTCTTGTAGGAAGGGAGTGGGTATGCTTTCATTGCATAATATTGTTTCAGATTTGACCCAAAACAAAGATTATGGATTTTGGAAAATCCTATTTATATAAAGGTGACCAATGGTGTATCTGTCCGGGACTTTTTTAATTTCAAATTGAAATGTTTTTAGATGAAATAACATCATGCTGGTGTCTGCAACCCAAATAAAGCTTGCCATGCTGGGTAGTCAAGGAAAATTGAAAGGGGTTTTCAATTCCTTTTTTCATTGCCAGTAGTAACCTATTACTTACCCTTTTCTAGCCTCAGTATTTCCAGGTTTAAATTAATGATCAAAAAAAGAATTACAGTTTATGTACATCACCACCTTCATGTCCCAACAGCACAAACAGTCTCTGCACTGCATTTAACTGCAAGTTCAGAAGGAGAGTTAAATGGTCCCTTCATCCACAGATGTAGAGTAGGTTCATGCAGGTGAGACTCATTTTTATGTGCATTTAGGTTCTTTGAACTAATTTAATTGACCAGAATGTGAAACAAGCCAGTATTCAATAGATTCAGTGATATAACACTTCAAGAAGAAAAAATGATGAATTTATGACTGTTGAGATTAGATTCTTTTAGTTTCATTAGTAAGCCATTACATAGTAAGTCATTAGCATTCCTAATTAACCAGAACTTCGTAAAATTTAGCATAGTATTTGACAAATGTTATCTGATGCCAGTGAACTGGATTTCACTTTCCAAATGAGGGCTGACCATTGCTCATTGAAATAAAGATAACATTGAAATAAAGAAACATTTCTAGCTAACAGGCACTAATTCATATTTTTGCCAGTTGAATCTCATACTGCCCATTCTATTCTCAGTGCAGATAGCAGTTGTATATTTAAGCAGGGCCATAATTTTGTCATATTGGTGACAGAAACAGTGAATTCGAAGAAATTGACTGGCATCAGAGTGGACATCGTATTAGATCATGGGAGGTGTAGTTCAGCAAGGTATACTGGTTTATGGGAA